TGCCTGTGAGATGTTTAGTCGCAGAAGTGAAAAAAAAAGAATGATATATAAATATATATTTTCAATGGAAGATGCAATAATCAGTTATCAATGCACTTATACCATACATAATTGATCTGAATTCATATTGTACCCATGTAATATCGTAATAAAATGTCATGTGCCTATCATTTTCTGTACATTTTGAGATTCCTTTTCCTCTTTGCTTATAAATAATTAAATAATTAAATAATTAATATTAATCGAAAGATTTAATATATAATATTTTATAATAATATTTTCAGATTAAAACTTATTTGCATTTTCATATGGTATTATTAGGAAAAAAAATAGAAATCAATAACTTCTTGATCATTGAAATTTATTGCTACTTTCAAAACATTTTTTCATAAACTTATTATTAGAAAATAAAAAAGAAAAACTTATAAAATATAACATTTTTCGATGCATAAGTATTTTTGGACTTTACATTCGCTTTTTAGATTAATAAATTCATATCTTTTTTTTTACATTTGTTAAATTGATGCATATAAAATTATCTTAGCAAATAAAACTTTTTTTTTTGAAAAATTATATTTTTTGATTAAAGTAATTTTCACATGATTTTATACATTATTCTTAACAGTTTTATTGTTAAATTTTTATAAGAATGATCTATTCTAGAATATCAAATCTTTGAATGCAAATGTTATAGTTTTTTTACAAATTATTTTAAAAAGAACTTATTAAATAAAAAATTATCTAAACAAATTATATAAAATATTTGTAATTCTTTTGCAAACATTTTTATTTTTATTTTATAATTTATTTTAATAACTTTCATAGTATATTTACCAAATTGAAATCCTGATTATTTATAATAATTCACAATGATATCAAAATTAAACTTTAAAGAAACAAATTAGATGTTTCATACATATCAATTTTGTATATGCTTGAAGTTTAATGAAATTTAAAATTTATAGAAAATATACATTTGTTATAATATACAATAACATAAAAAATTTTAATAATAAGAATATTTAAGTGGAAAAATTTAAAGGCAGAAATTATATAATATTCAAATTATATATCATTGATGAAATCAAAATTAATAAACATTTATATTTTCATTTTTCATGTAGAATTATAAAGTCCTATTTTATATCTTATAACATTATGTAAAAAGTAATGCATAGTGGAAGCGTAATTGTTTTTTCTTTTTTCATTGCTATAATTGCATAATTATTGATACCTAAATTAAATATTAAATACTTATCAAGAAAAAATATTAACAATATTGTACATAACTTATATAATTCTTTCTTTACATACACATCACTTTTATATGAATTTTTATTCTGTACATTAAACAGTATCTAAAAATTTTTATTAAAGCTGTAGTGATATTTTATATAATATTTAGATAGAAAAATTATTTCTCACTACTTATAAATTCTTCAGAATTCTAATGAAGGATTCTGAAGGAAAATTTTTAAATAATTGTCTCTTTTTAATAAAAGAGAGACATATAAACATATAATTAAATTACATAACAAAATATAAGAAGACATGTTTTCATGGACAAGTTAAGAATACCAAATATAAATAGAAATATATTTATAAAACTATTTGCATGCAAGACATAATGAATTATGATTCACTTATACAGGTCCCTGGAAGTATTAATTATACAATTAAATTCTATTCTTTATATACATAACGAACACTTTTTTTAGAAATATTGAATATTGAATATTTAAATAATCTTGAAACTTTCATGAATTTTGAAATAGGCATAATCTGCATGTATATTGTTCTCTGCAAAATTTTATTTGGAAGCATATATTTTCATTTCATTTTATTTATTTATTTTTTAATTTTTTTATTCATATATAAAGAAATGATTAATTTCTTAGTTTGTTCTTTTGTTTATAAAGCATTTTAATGCTTTTTGATTATTATTTTTTATGCAGCTTATAATCAATTCCACTTGTATGAATTCATTTAAGTTTTAAAAGTTATAAGTTGTTTCTATTTCATAGCAGCTAATTATATGTTAACATTACTTATATATATTTGATATAGTTACATTTACCTACTAATAGCTTTAGCTTGTTGTGCTTTGTACATTTTTAAAACTTTCTTGCTTGGTATTAAAGATTGACTTAATCCTGGCCTCTTCTTACGCCTATTCATTTGATTATTTTCTTGATCTATCTCATCATCATCATTAATGGAAACTTGACCATTATAAGGAGTTTGACAAATAATTGTTTCTTGTGGTGTTCTAATTGTTTCTAATTCAGTTGCTGTACGATGTAAATCAGAATCATGTGCAAAAGTACAATTATGTCCAAATCGGCATCTACCTTTCCTATAATTCCAACAAATTTTTTTACCATTTATCATTTTTGTATCATCAAGAGTTGGAGTCATTTTCACATGCTTTTCAAGAATTGCACTTTTTGCTTTTTCTGCTTCAACAAATGGATTTGAGAAGACTGAAGTTTTCATTGTAGGTATGCCATTAAAATCTGGAGTTGGTAATGGAAGTTTTTCTTTGGAAGCTTTTTTACATATTTCATTGTTTTCATTATTTTCTTCTTCCTCATCATCTTCTTCTTCCTCTTCCTTAAAACTAAGGGTTAGGCAATATCAGATTACAAAGAACAAATTCAATTTGATGTGTAAGTATCAACTGTGATTGAATATATTTATATATGTAAAAATCATATATGTAAATATATAAATCATATTAATAATGAAAAATATATATGTAAAAATAAAAAATATTATATATTTTATTATTAAAATAAAATAATATCAAAATAAAAATAATTATATAGATTAATATTGTAGAACATAAGATTTATGATATAAATATATCTTTTTTAATTTTTATTTCATAAATATAGATGAAAATATATAAAGCTATTTGTTTTATAAAAAAAGAAACATACCTTTGTGCAAAATATAATGTTAAAGATGTAGTAATAATAATTCATTTTAAAAGTTTTAAATTTCTGTGATTTTAAAAGAATTATCATTATACAAAAGAAGAAAATAAACAATAGAGAAACATGCTTGTGATGGTGAAAGCTTACGTGTTATCGGCATCATCCGAAATATCATCACTATTACTTTCTGAGCTTGAGGAAGTTCCATAATCTGCAACCAAGGAAGCCATCGTTCTTACCAATTAATTAACAATATACTCTAACAAACACTCTAATCTAATATAACCATTATAAACTGTTATGCTACTGTTCACATTATATAAAAATATGGCAACACTGTAATACTTACGTCACCGGAAGTTATTGACGACATTCTTATATTTTTGAAATTAGCGGTAAACATAAACTTTACTACGCAAGTCTAAAATTTTATCAGAATTTTAGTATAATTTTATTATATTAATCAATAATAAAATTTCAATGATCAAATGAGATTAAAATAATATTAAAATTAATTAATTTTATTTATAGATGTTAGAGATAATTTATTATAGATAACATTAATTGAATATCTTATAAATAACAAAATTCATATAGTATACAATATATTTGAATATTTATTTATATTAGTTGTAAAATCTTTAAAAACAAAAATAATAAAAAAATCATTATTATTTAATATTATAAACATGAAACACCTGAATCACTTATAATTAAAGTGCATGCAAGATCTGCTTCTAATTGAAAACTATTCCAAATTGAAATTTTTCTGTTTCCAAGTTCCTGTTTTTCTAATAATAATCTTGTATTAGGAACATGTGCCCAATATTTTCCTAAAGTAGGATTAGTTAGAATATCATTAATATTTTCATTTGAACTTGCACTTGTTCCTTCTTCATTAATATTATTCCATTGACTAATTAAATTAACACTAATAATTGACAAATTAAATTCTTTAGCAATAAAATGACAAATATTTGCTAGATGATTTAAGATAATTGTTGTTTTATGATCCTTAGAAAATTTAAAAATTAGTGCTGGTAAAGAATCAATAATTATAATTCTTGTACGGCTTTCTTCATTTTCTTCTTTTAAATTAACTGATAACCAATGTAAAACTTGAAACAATTGATGTATATTATATACACAACATACTTTGATACGTTCCATAATTTCATTTATAACCTAGAATTAAAATAAAAATGTTTTGCTTACCAATTTCATTTTAACTCATTAAATTATTATTACAGTATTATTACAGAAAATATACATACCTGCTTATTATAACTTTTCTTTAATAAAATTTGTTCTATTCTTGAACCACAAAAATCTCTTTTTGTATCAATATATCTTACAAGATTATTGCATTTAAGTGCAATATTAATTGCAATTGAAAAACACAATTGTGTTTTTCCACTTGCAGATAAACCACATATTTCATATATTTGACCACAATATAAACCACCTTTTAATAAATTATCTAAACTAATCAATTAAATTTAATATTAGTTCTGAATTCTGAATGTTTGTATTTAATATATTTATATACCTTGATAAGTTTGTAGAAATTATATTTTTTTCTTCTATTTCAAATAATTGAAAAGCATTTTTAACTAAACCTCCATATTTTTTACAAATATTTCGCTTAATTTCAATTATGTCCTATAAATTTAACCTTACAATCAACATTTTGCAAAAATTATTATTTACATAATATATTTAATTTTAAAATCTTCATTTTTATTTCTTCTTAATAAACCTATATATATATATATATGTGTGTGTGTGTATATATATATACCTTTAATGACAATCCTGTAAAAGATGCTAATTTTTCAGAATCTTCATCTATAAATTGTATAAGAGTACAAATATGTTTATGTTGTAATTGTTCTATTACGATGCTTGATAATTTCGAATTTACAGCTGTACTTAATTTGGTCATATTTATGATAATTGATATTTTAGTCACTCTTTATTTATTATATATCGTACTTTTTCAATTTCATTACTTTCTTTATCTATTATTTTTAAAATTAATAGATTTCCGGAAAATTAAAACTAACTTAATCAATATAATAATATAATAATCAATCTTTTATAAATTTATGATTAACAGTGCAGATAATAATTAATTATAAAAAAAATATAATCTAATTTTAAAACATTTATATAAAAATTTACAATTATTCTATTTTAATTTGATAAAATTTTTATCTTTTTCTATTTATTAATAATAGTAAATAGTAAGTTTCAAATTATTATCGCATTTACTACGTAGATCAATGTAAATATAACGGTGGTACTCAAAAGATGATGCGTTGAGTATCGAAATGACCTCAGCGTCATTCTTACGATTGTACGTATCACAAACAGGTACTTCGTTAAATATAGTAGAATCAAGTAGAATCAGAAAAAAAGATTATGAATTCAAATGTATTTGAATTTCATTTTTTATTTAATTATGATTCATATGATACGATATATTCTATATATAATTATGATTTGCTTCGTGAAAACTTATTGGGACTTTATCGTTACATTTAAAAATGTGTTTAACATACGTTGTATTACGAGAAGTTGCGCATGTGTTCAATATATAGATAAATATTTCTTTGATTTTGGTTAGAAAATACACAAATTCACAAATATAAGAAGGCACAAAATGAAGATCAACGAAAAAGTAAGTAAAATCTTCTTTTTTGAACTTATACTTGCTTATATTTGTAATATTAACGATTATAACAATTGTGAGTAGCACGTGGTATGTTTAAGTGCATGTAACGCGGCAACCATGTTATATTAATTATAAAATATCAAAATTTAAAATATATTCTGATATTTTCATAAATTTATCTTATAAAAAATATATAAAACAATAAAAAATATTGTTTGTTACAAAATAACAATTTATTGAAAAATAAGTTGAATAAAAATAAAATTTATTATTTTTTACATAAAAATTTATTTTAATTAATTTTATAAATAATAATTATAATTAAAAAAAATAATTAAAAAGATATAACATCTAATTTTATAAACACGTGGTACATAATTAATAAATAAATGAAAGAGATATGAAAATATATACATATATATAGTTTCATGATATCAGTTTATTTTCACTATAAATTGGATCGAAATATTTGGATAACGGCGATCCCAAGAATGTAAAATGATGTAATACTGTATGTTAATGTATGTCTATATTTGTCGATCGTATACCATTATATAAAATTATTATCAAAGAAAAATAATTATTTTTATAAAATCTTTTAATTTCAATATTAAACTATATAAAAATATTATTTTATGAATACTTTTTAAAAGATTAATTATTTTGCAAATAGTTACATCGAACTGAATGTTTTTTATACATTAAATTTTTATCATAAAGGAATAAATTGTAATACTTTTTTATTAATATTTTTTATATATTAGCAATACATATAGCAATAGATTTTATAAAATGTATATCTACTCAGAAATAATAGTTGCTGATTTGATTTGTTAGTCGGAAAACAAGTCCTTTTAATATTTTTACCAGTAACCAATCAGGAACGTTTAATACTGCCACGTTGCCAAGTATCCGGTTGTATTCGACCAATCGCAGATTCAGTATTCAGTTGAAGCGGCATCTCTCCGTGGCTTGTGTAAACGTGAAGTAGCAAGCAGCTCACGATCTGGTCGCGGTCGAAATTTGTCGGGAACCGTCGCCATGTTTAGAAGTGTGTGCGTCCTTGAGCGAGTCGAGCGACGATGTTCTGTAAAATATTAGATATAGCTCATGCACTGTATATTACGTGAAGTACCTAATTACAATTTAATGCTCGTCGATCACGAGTGTAACAATTATTTTCGTGGATGGCTCACCTACATTGCAGAATTTTGTGATTACAGTATGGTAAGTCCGCCCTCCTATCAGACCAACGCCAACATGGCGGACGAAAAATTTCCTTTGTATCGCCGCGAGGCTCCACTGACGCAATTGTGAAAAATGTATTCTTTCGGAAAGCGATACACTTCAAAAGATCGAAAAAATTGTTTTTTATCATTAAAAAGTTTAACTAATAGACTGGTGTAACAATTATTGTTATTAGATTAAAATAAATTGACATTTTTCTAATAAGAAGACTTGAACGCCCTGAATGCTTGATATATTGGACGTTTGCATATTCGTTGCAATCTTTTGATATTCTAAATGACATTGTTCGTTTCACTATTCAGTTGATTGTAGATACATTTTTAATGTTCATGCTGTTGTATTTTGAAGGATATTTTTTCTTTTGCGCAATACGCATGTTTTATAAATTCCAATGTGGTGTATCAGTTGTGAACGGAGAAATTTTGATTTCGGCGCTTTTTTCACAAATCAATTAACGTTCTCATTTTGATTCATTGAAATTATCTTACTTAGAATAAGGTTGAAATGTATATATTTGACCTAAAATTCGATAATAAATTATTCATATATTTTAAGTAATTGAAAAATAAACTTATTACCAATCTGTGAAGCTTTAATTTCTTATTTTTTATATATGTTTTTTTTTAATTATCAATTTTATATGTATATTTTTTTAATATGAAATAAACATATAATTGTCAAAAAAATGTGCAGTTTAATATAATATTGCATACAATTGACAAATTGAAGTTATTTTTCAATTTTTTTAATTTTTAATTTTCTCCTTTTGTTTGTTTTCATTTGTTTTTTTTTATAAATCTAAAATAATTTTTTTTTATTAGTTTAATTTAAAGAAAAATGTTTTTAAAAATTCTTTTGACAAATATAAGATAAAAATTGAAACATTTATATAATTTTTATTATTTTATTATCAAAAAATAAAAAAAAACATTTAATTAAATTTTTTTTTATTATAAAAAAAATATAAATATTTATTATTTTAGCTTTTTCAAAATTTAATTACAAATAACTTAAATTTAAATTTTAATTATGATAAATAGAAATTTTTATGGTATGTTTAAAATTATATTTAAATGCATTGTCAATATTGAAAAAATTTTAATATGTATCTTATCTTATCTTTATCTAATTTTTTTATTAAAAATTATTTCATATAAAATTAAAAATTAAAAATAATTTTTAATAATATTTATCAATAATTTGTTTTAATAGTGTAATGTGTAATGAGTGATAAGCAGACTGCACCTATTTTACCGCCCCTTAATGGGGGTGGAGGAAGCAATGGAAGCACAACTCAACAAACAGTTAATCTGCAACAAGTTCTTGCTACTGCTCAAGGACTCAATGTTCTTACCACAGGTACTGGACAACAATTTGTTATTACTTCACAGGTTCCTGGTCTTACACAGGTATGTATGAAATTTCTATAATAAATATTTAAATTTTTTAATGAATATAAATTAAACAATTATTTTTTTAATCGTAGGTTATTCCAAGTAATGCATCAACAAATGCAAATATTCAACAAATCGGTGTTAATATTAGTAGAATTGTTAATATTAGTGGTACACCACCACGTGCAAGTAGTGTGGGAGTTGCAGGTGTTAGTAGTTCACCTCTCACATCTCCTACCCGTCAAAGTTCACCTAAAGTTGTTTTAGCAACATCTCCAAAACTTGTTCGTACTTCTATTAGAAATATGTTTGTTGCACCAACTTCTCAAGCTTCATTGCAGTCACCACCTGCAAGAAAGAAATTGAAGTTAGCAGATTCCACTGAAAAATCTACTATGATTGCTGATGATACAATGGGTTATAGAAGGAGAATTATGGAACATAAAATGAAAAGAATGCGTGCAATAAGAGAAAAATATGCTGAAAATGCATCAGAACTATTCTTTCTACATGCTGGAGGCAATATGATGGATTTTCAAACATGGAGAAAGAAACCTCCAACACCTCAATACTTGCATTTTTTACGGCAACATAGATTAGATCCAGATGATGATGATGAAGATTTAACAGCTCCACTGCCAGCAATATCAGAAATTCCATTAACACCAACTACAACTACTGTTTCTACAATAGTTCCTGTGAATCAATGTACAGAAGTAAAAATTTCTGGAATCAATGTTGCTCCAGTTGCAGTATCTACAACATTGCCTGCTGCAGTAGCCCAACTTAATCAACAAGGTAATTATATTATTATTTTAAATATATGTAATAAATTTGATATTTTAAAAAAGAAAAAAAAAACAATTTTACAAATTTCTAATAAAATTTTATATTTAGTCTAATATAATTTATATTTAGTCAATTATTTTTCTTAGAATGCTAGAAGGCACACCATTATATTTATTTCTTTAAAAACTAATAAATTAAAAAATAAAAAAATAATTTCTATTTATATATAATGTATTAAGTTTAAAAAAAAATATTTTGATTAATATTGTAATATATGTTTAAATATATTTTGATTTATTTTGTATAGAAATTATATAGAAATTGAATAGAAATATTAATTTTTCCTTTTTGATAGATATTTATTTGAGAAAGTGGAAAAACAATTAAGAGTTTTAGTACATATTTTATAACAATCAAAATAATTACTTTGCATAATAGGACATGTACCAGGTAGGCCTCAAGGGGGCCGCCATGGCATGGTGTTTGCCTTCAGACCAGCAATTCAGTCTTCACCAGTCACCGCTCATCCTCCACCTACTTCTACTCTAGCACCCACGCTCATTATAGGTGATTACTGCAGGCTTATCATTTGATGTTTAGATCCATTAATCTTCCTTATACAGATTTCTATATAAATTATCTTTGTTGCTTCTTCTTATCATATTTGCATATACTTTCTATTTAATGCTTTTTATGCATTGAATTAAGTTCAGAAAAAATGAAACTTAAATAAAAATAAGCAATTAATATGAAAATTATTTTCATCTTATTAAAATTATTTTGCATTATTAAAATTAGTTTATTATAGATTTGATTAAATAAGTTTGATTATAATTAATAATGTTGTTTTTTAATAATTAAATAGTATTGCAATATTCCTTAAAATTAAAAAAGGCAATCACTTTTGTTTAAAAAATATAATGAGAAATTTTATTCATGTAATTTTTTTTTAATTCATTTTTTATTATATTCATATTTCATAGTTCATACTCATAGCAATATCTCTATTTGAGAAATTTTTATTATATTTATATTTATGTTAATAATTTATGTATTATGATTCTATGTTTTCTTTAATATTTTACAATATTATAGAGATAACATATAATCCCACAATAGACGGCTGGCTCAAATTTATGTATTTTGGAACAGTCCACTCTGTGTGGGAAAATTAATTAATTCACAGCTTATGTAAGGTTGTTTAGCATTATGCTTCTCAACCTAAGGGCACTGTTGATACATATATATATTTTTCAAAAATTTTTTGAAATATATTTGATATATTAAGTCTTTTTATTATCATTACAGGTAATGCACCAATAGTTCCAAGTTCACCAAAATCTGTAACAACAACCGTTCCAAGTTCAGTGATAGATAAATCTACAATAACTACATCTATTACAACAACTATTACTACAATGACTACTTCTACTGTTACCTTTACTGGAGCTACTACTACAATTGCTGTTACTACTACCACAAAAACATCTTCTACACCTACTACACCTGTTCAACCTGTTGTCAAACTTGTTAAATTACCTGCTTCTAATGCGACATCATGTGATATCACAAATAACCAAGAACAAATAGTAGAAAAAGCTAAACAAGAAGCATATGTCATGCAAAGGATTGCGGAATTACAACGTGAAGGATTATGGTCAGAAAGAAGATTACCTAAGGTACAAGAACCACCTCGTACAAAAGCTCACTGGGACTATTTATTGGAAGAAATGGTTTGGTTAGCTGCTGACTTTGCTCAAGAACGAAAGTGGAAAAAAGCTGCAGCAAAAAAATGTGCGCGTATGGTACAAAAATATTTTCAGGAGAAAGCAATTCAAGCACAAAAAGCTGAAAAATCACAAGAACTTAGGTTAAAAAAGATTGCTAGTTTTATCGCTAAAGAAATTAAAACTTTCTGGACAAATGTAGAAAAAGTAAGTTTATAAGTTGTAATAATTTTATTTACCCCATACTATTAAGCCGACAATTTCAATGTATTTCAATTGAAAATGTGTGCTCGTTATGGGAACAGCAAAGTCTGCTCATTGTGTATGATTGTATTTATTTATTTTTATAATCAAAGAATTGATGCAGGACATTTATTTTCATAGCATCTAAAATATTTTTATAAAAATAAATATATCGTATATATTTTATTATGTTTGTTTTTTTTTAAGTTGGTGGAATATAAGCAGCAAACGAGGCTTGAAGAAAAAAGAAAACAAGCACTAGACCAGCACTTAAATTTTATTGTGGGCCAAACAGAAAAATATTCAACGTGGTTAACTGAAGGACTTAATAAAACTGATGGTCCTCAAAGTATACCAGCTTCTATGAATAGTTCACGCATTTCTTCTCCAATACCACCTGGCAAATCTCATTCTGATGGTGTGTAAAATTTATTTTATTGAATTTATTGTATTAATAATATAATATATATGATGTTAATACATATGTTAATATTATTTATAAGATATTTTTGATTCAATTTTAAGGATCAAAACAAATATAATAGTTGATATACAAAAATATTAGTTAAAACTTATAAAGTTATAAACAAAGTTATATTTAGACAAAGCGAGAGAGAAATAAAGTAAAATCACTCTGTTTTCATTATATTGTCTCTTTCCGTTTTATGTAACATGAATTTAAATTGCTTATAACTTAATAAATTTTTTCAATATTTTTGTATACCAATTTATATATTTGTTTTGACTCTAAAATTAGTTCTCCAAAAGTCCTGCGAGTATATTAATATTCTGTATAATAATTAATATTTGTATAATATTTTTTAATATAGAGGATTTTCAACCAAACCAAAGTTCAGATGATGATGAAGAAACTATAGCAAAAGCTGAAGAAGAACTGAAATCTGTGACAAATCATAAAGAAGAAGTTGAATTGTTAAAAAAAGAATCGGAATTACCCTTAGAAGATCTTTTAAAAGAATTACCACCTGATTACTTAGAGAATAGAAGTAAAAGTTTGTCACCTGCATCAAAGGAAGTGGAAGAAGTATGTAATATATTTTTGGATCAAGAATATAAGTGATATTTTATTTTGATAAATAATTTTTTGTATATTTTAAAAGGAGAATGAAAAGACAGCGGATGGAGATATGGATTTTGTTGCCGCATCAGATGAATCCTCAGATGAGGAAGAAACTATCATGGAACAAGAAAAACTGGAAGAAAATGCAGATTATAAACAAGAATTAGACGATCTCAAAGTATGTGTATACTTTTCTAGCTGTTATAGAGGAGTAATGAATTTTCTCTATAAAAGTATAATACTTTTAGGCCGAAAATGAAATGTCTATTGATGAACTTATGGCTAAATATGGTAACATATCAGATGTGCCAATGGATGTTGAACAAGAACCAATTCAAGGTAAATATATATAATATTATTTAAATTAATTTTAGTTATAGAATATTCATATTTTGGTGATGACATTCTACCATTCCTGATGATTCAAGAAATGGTTTTCATTCTTGATTTCTATTTCTGATGTAATATGAGGCATTTGTCTGAAAATTAAAATTTACAATTATTGAATCAGCATGAATACTTATTTTTAATGTATATATACATATAAGTATATATATATATATATATATTTGTATAGAATCAGATAAAGAAAGCACAAAGGAAGAAGAGAATGAAGAAGAATCTACAACTAACGAAAGTGAAAGTGAAGAAAGTGATAATGAAGTTGGAGAAGAGGAGTCTCAAACACAAACTGATAATGAAACTGATATTGGACTTAAATCTCTGTTAGAAGATATATCTATGGAGAAATCATCAGATGATAAAGTAAAATAATATTCTTAGATGATGACAATCTTTATATAAAAAAATAATATATCGGTTATTTTTTATAGACTGCAGAATTGGATCATTCAGATGCTCACAATGAAATGGATAACGTAGCAGCATTGGCAGAAAGTATTCAACCTAAAGGAAATACTTTACTTACAACTAGTGTACGTCATTCTAATATTTTGATAATCTTTTTGTCGTGGAGCCAGTCTTTATTGTTGAGACAGCCTTCCATCCAAGGTTATGTGACAATAATTTGCACATGACCATTTAGAAAGGCTAAAGTATAAGTGGCATCTTTTCTTGACAAGTAAATTAATTCGTCGATTTATTTTAGAGAATTGTCACGACAATTTTTATAAATTATATGAGTTAAAAAAAAATATTTATAATTCTCTAACAAAAAATTGATATAATTTTAGGTTGTTACAAAAATTCCATTCTTTTAAAACATCCTCTTCGAGAATATCAGCACATAGGATTGGATTGGCTTGTTACAATGTATGATAGAAAATTAAATGGCATTTTGGCAGATGAAATGGGTTTGGGTAAAACCATACAAACAATTGCTTTACTTGCACATTTAGCATGTGAAAAAGGTAATTGGGGTCCTCATCTCATAATAGTACCAACATCTGTAATGCTCAACTGGGAAATGGAATGTAAAAAATGGTGTCCAGGATTTAAGATATTAACTTATTATGGAACACAAAAAGAAAGAAAACAAAAGAGAACAGGTACAAAATTTATTATTAAACAGAAATATAAATAAAGTAATTATAGTAGTAGGAAATATAAATAAAATATTTATAATATTTTGTTATTTTTAGGTTGGACAAAACCTAATGCATTTCATATTTGTATAACATCGTATAAATTAGTTATACAAGATCATCAAAGTTTTAGAAGAAAAAAATGGAAGTATCTTATATTAGATGAAGCTCAAAATATAAAAAATTTCAAATCACAAAGATGGCAATTATTGTTGAATTTTCAAACACAACGGTAATTTATATCATATTTGGATAATGTATTTTAAAAATAATTATAATTTATATTTATATTTATAATTGTATATTTTATATTGTATTTTATAATTATTATTTTATATGAAAATTTTTATTGTTACAGACGTTTATTGCTTACTGGTACACCTCTCCAAAATAATTTGATGGAATTGTGGTCATTAATGCATTTTTTAATGCCAAATGTATTTCAATCACACAGAGAATTTAAAGAATGGTTTAGTAATCCTGTTACTGGAATGATAGAAGGGAACAGTGAATATAATGAAAATATCATTCGTCGTCTGCACAAGGTTTGTACGTAATTTGCTTTTATATTTATAATTATTTCATGTATACGATTATTCGCTACCGACACAGATATATGATTATATATTATATATCTGTTTTATATAAATAGCGAAATATTAAAAAAAATTCTCTATTAAAACTCGCGTGTCATAATATATTTATATGACATTCGAATCCTGTCTGGAGAAACATTTTTAATAAAATTTTTATTATATTATTTGTTTTTTAATCCAATTCCTTTATTGCATTTACATATTACATATATTACGTTATTTATAGGTTTTACGGCCTTTTTTATTGCGAAGATTAAAAACAGAAGTAGAAAAACAATTACCTAAAAAATATGAACATGTTGTCATGTGTCGTTTATCAAAACGACAGAGATATCTGTATGATGATTTTATGTCTAGAGCAAAGTAAGTATTACATATTTTATATTTTTATAATATATTTATATGCATTATATATTATAAAATATAATTTTATTATATATATATATATATATTATATATTATATTATATTATATATATATATATACAGATTTATATAGTACATAAATACAATTTTTGTTGTAAAGGACAAAAGAAACTCTGGCTAGCGGTAATTTGTTAAGCGTTATTAATGTATTAATGCAATTAAGAAAAGTATGCAATCATCCAAATTTATTTGAAGTGAGACCTACTGTATCACCATTTCAAATGGAAGCAATTGAATATGTCACTGCTTCTTTGATATGGAGTGCTCTGGATTATGATCCATTTAAGGTAATATATATATAAAACTTAATTTTTTATGAAGATTTTTAAAAATTCAAAGAAAAGTATAATATATATTGATTTTATTTTATAGCATATCGATCTATCTAGTGTTAATCTTTTATTATGTGATTTGGAATTAACTCTTACTGCGTTCGTGGCGCATAGAGTTAGGCGTTTACAAACGTCACGAAAACTTATAGAAGAAATAGACACACAATCAGATCCATCTCCAAGATGTCCATCCGGAAAAATTAAAATTAATGTTAGATTATCTAATCAAGTTAAACCATCTGTTCCACGACAGACCCAAGCAAAATTAAAAAATTTAGCCGGAATTTTACCTACTCCAAAAGTTGGGACATCTCCTTTAATAAAGACTGCAAATAATCAAAGTACTCCAACACAAGGTATAAATTTATAAATATTTATCAATATTTAGTATTTTTTTATTTAATTTTTATTTATTTTTACAGGTGTCACATTAAAAGTAGCAGGTGGTCAACAATTGCAGGGATATTCTGTACAATTAGTTCAACATCAAGGTAGTGTAAAAGGTGAATACTTTTTTCTCTTATTTTTTTAATGTATATGTATATTTAAAACCTGAAATCCTGTGCATCATCGATCAGTGGTTGCACTCAAACTTGTCACTGTGTAATCATTCTTGCAGTGGTGCTAGAGGAATTGATCATCTCGGGCCAGCTTGTTTATAGTTTTCCTATGTTATAAGCATTCTAGAACCGAGAGCACATTAACAAACTTACATTTAATTATTATCTAACATTTGTGAATTACAATTTGTGTAAAATATTTGTTGTATTTGCTTCGAAAATAGCAATCCCTGTTGGAACATTAGCACATAACCCACAAAGTACAACAGTGACACCAACTACAGCAGCAACAAATGCACAGAGGATTACAGTAGGAAATGCAAATATTATAGATGGATTGCAACGACTAGCAACACAAACAGTTGCAGTTAAACAAGGTGATTCCGTCCAAAGAATAGCAATGCCTAATCTTGCACAGATGGTTCAAACATCTATTGGTAGACATATCATTCTGACTTCGAATCAACAAAACACTAACACAGGTTTGTCCCAAGTCTCATGCCCCTCTGATTTATGTCGACATTGTGTGAATCATATACATTTTTTTTTCATATCATTTGTATGCATTTAAGTGAATGTTAAAATATAATGCATGATTATAAATATTTTCCTAAATTAATAGCTAAAATCTTTAATCCAATACAGCATAATTTATAAATTGATATTTTTTATATCTTTTTTTGCTCTTTATAATAATGATTAATATTGTTTTATATTTACAGTTTCATTTCCAGTAATGACTCCGTGTGTACAACGTTTGAAAGTCTTACCAAAATCTTTAATGGGCCTATCTACTACAGCAACTACTGTAAACAAAGTCATAGGAGGTGTAGTGACAACTACAAGTGGAACAAGTGGAAGACCCGTAATGAGAGTACCACCACTGAATGTTACTGCTTCTCCTAATATTACTGCACAGTCTGCCGCTGGTAATGGACAATCTCAACAACAATCAATTCGTTCCGGTATTGTTACTAGACACGCACAAAAAGAATCAGAAAAGGCACAAACAAAAGAACGTCCAAAATCCGAATTTTATTTGGTAATTATATTAAAAATATAATATTTATATTGTTTTATACATTTTTAAAGATTTAAATAATTTTAAATGTAATCTCTTTGCAGCCACAATTAGAAGAAGAACGAAAACAAAGAAGGCAAGCTAAGCTTCGTCTGGTTGCAAATATTAATGAAAGACGATGTGCTGCGTGTCCTTTATATGGAGAAGATTTGTTTATGGCATTAAGAATTGGTAAACCATCTACAGCATGTAGATGGCATAATGGTTGGGTTCACTGTGCAACTGCTAAAGATAATACACGTACACGAAGGCAATTTTTTTCTCGCACAGAAGCACTTGCAGAAGCGATTAAAAGTACAGAACAAATTGTTGAAGAGCTTAAAGAAGTTTTTGAAAGGTATGTTATATTGATAAATAAAATTTAATTTTCAATATATATTAATATTCAATTATCTTTAATATAATTTTGTTTTGTACTAGGTTTGTTGTACATGTTCCTGCTGTATGTGCTCCTGCACCACGTTTTCATGTTTCTCATCCTCCTCCACATAAATTGTTTGGTCAACGACGTATACAAATGGAATTACAACGTCAACTATCGCCAAAATTGGCATTGTTCCATCCAGTAGCTAGTGCAATGATGACGCAATTCCCGGATCCTAGATTGATACAATATGATTGTGGAAAATTACAATCTTTACATCAACTTCTTAGAAAACTTAAATCTGAAAATCATAGAGTTTTAATTTTTACACAAATGACAAGAATGTTGGATGTATTAGAAGCTTTTCTTAATTTTCATGGTCATATATATTTACGTTTAGATGGTACTACTAAAGTAGATCAGCGACAGGTAATAATTAACTACTATAAACATTATTATAATAATAAATTATTATAAAAATCATATATCAATTTATAAAAATACTATAAAAACATTGTTCTTTTATTATTTTTTTAATATAGTTTATCTTATGAAAAAATTATAGGTTTTGATGGAAAGATTTAATGGAGACAAACGAATATTTTGTTTCATTTTGTCGACGAGATCTGGAGGTGTCGGTGTAAATCTTACAGGAGCAGATACCGTTATATTTTATGATAGTGATTGGAATCCTACAATGGATGCCCAAGCACAAGATAGATGTCATAGAATAGGTCAAACTCGGGATGTACATATCTACAGGTATATATATATATATATAAAATATATGATATTCCTATATTTATAAGTATATTTAATAATGTATATTTTAGGTTAGTAAGTGAAAAAACTGTGGAAGAAAATATTCTGAAAAAGGCCAATCAAAAAAGACTACTTGGAGATTTAGCTATTGAAGGAGGGAATTTCACAACAGCTTACTTTAAAAGTGTAAGTATTTCATTTCAAAAGTATTAATAAAATGTTCATTTAAAATATGTTTATTTAATCATGTATAATATGATTATAATTATTTTTAGTCTACAATTCAAGATCTTTTTAATATTGATCAATCGGAGAATGATGCAACAACCCGAATGGCCGAAGTATTGGAACAAAATAGAGATCGAGAGAAATTTTTGCAAAAGGATAATCAAAGTCAAACTTTAGAGGATAAGATAGCAATGGGTGCACTTGAAAGTGCTCTTGCTGCTGCTGAAGAAGATCTCGATGTTCAAGCTGCAAAGACTGCTAAAGCAGAGGCTGTTGCTGATTTAGCAGAATTTGATGAAAATATACCTTTAGATGATGCAGATAGGGATGATTTACAAGTTAGCAAGGCTGAACTTGAAGTACAAAATTTAGTATCTCAGGTAAAATAAATGTTTACATTTATTTTGCTGATATTTTTCTTAATATCAAAATAAAATTATTAAAAATCATTTTTTTGTATATAGTTGACGCCCATAGAACGTTATGCAATGAAGTTTGTCGAGGAATCGGAAGGTGCATTTTCTGCGGCACAACTTGCAGCAGCAGAACGTGAACTCGAAGAACAAAAGAAAGAATGGGAATTAGATCGATTACGAGCGCTGCGTGAGGAAGAAGAAAGACGAATGCGATTAGCTGATGATGACGAGAAGCCGTTGACGTTTGGACGTGAGGATGCGCAAAATCAGGTTAATAGTGCTAGTAATTCTAAGAAATTAGTCAATAAGAAACTCCCACCGAATAGGAGGAGGAATTCGCGTAAGAATATTAGTAAAAGTGCTCAAGAATCAGAAAGTGAAACTGAGACTACTACAGAATCAGAATCAGAATCACAAGAAGATGTCGTAGAAGATAGTCTTGACGAAGAGTCAAGTCATACGGAAAGTCAAAGTCAAGGCGATGAAGATGAGGAGGAGGAGACAAATGATCAGAATGATTCTGGAAAAGGCGGATATCCAAAACGTAAAAATCGGTCTAATAAATCATTCAGTCAAAATCATTTTGATCTAAATAGTCCGCGAACGAGATCTAGAGGAAACGTAAAAATTAATTTATGGACATTAGATGTAAGTCCTATTTTACCTGGTATAAAACCAAAATGTCGAGGAAGAGCTAGTAATCTGCGTAAACAACGCGAACTTGAAATGAGAATGAAAGCAGAAGAAAGTTTCGTCCTACCTTCATCTCCCGTTTCAAGTTGTAAAAAATTGAATAATGCAAATGTTTCAAATAAATTTGACGAAGAAGATATTATGAATCAAAAAGTAATAACAACATCTGATTTAAAATGTACTGACAGTGAACAAGATACAATTTTACCTGCTGAAGAATTATCTGAAAGTATTGAAAATTGTAAAGTGATAGCAAATCATTGCATTGTTGCAACTTCTTCACCAAAGTCAAAATATATTAAAACAATCACGATAGAAGAATCTAATTCTGTTCCTTTAAATTCGGTAGAAACAGAAACATGTTCTCAATCAGGTAATTCATCTGGTATGTCAGAACAGTGTAAAAATTCAGAAGAGAGTATAATTGATGACAAAGTTTGTGATGAAGATGTAACAGATATGTCATCATCGATATATATTACACAATCTATGTATAAATTAACAGCGCAATCTAGTAATTCTGAAGGTGATGTAAGTTATAATGATGATTCTGAAAACTCTAATGTCGATTTGATTTCACAAAGTAGTAATTCTTGTTTGTCTACAATAGAATCAAATACAATAAAAAGAATTTCTGATTCAAAATGTTTAAAAAATCCAATAACTTTAGAAATAGATGAGGAAATTAATATATCAGAAAATTCATTAATTGCTCCTTTAAAAAATAAAATGATTGCTCAAGATGTAGATGAAAATACCGGTGAATCTATAGAGAAGTTAAATGATTCTATTTCTAAAAATGAGATAATTTCATCTAATATTAATGAAGCAGATATGCAAATAAAAGAGGATTTACTTACTTCTAATATAAAACTAAAGACATTGGAAGATAAAACTGTATATAAATTCCAAGATACAACAAATGTTTCCGATGATGAATGTGGGTCAAAAAACGATGCGAGAGCACAAACTCCTACTGAAAAGGAAAATATGAACATAGAAGAAACGTTCAAAAATAAGGAGCAATTTGATGAAAGTACTTCAAATTCAAATATGACACATAAGTTTGTTAATGATACTGAATCTATTTCTGTGATAGAATCAAGATCTAGTCAGGAATTTAGTAGCATCAAACAAGAATCTTTTACTAAATTAGATGAATGTATGTATGACGAAAATGATTCAAAAATTCAGTTGACTTCACCAATGCAAAGTGACCAGTGCACCAGTGACAATACTTTTTCTTTTGATATTTTAAACTCGAATGAATCATGTGAATCTGAGTCTAATGTAGAAAATAAAGTAAAATTTCGTAAACCAGATATAGTATCTTACGGAGTTATTACAAGAAGCGCAAAAATAAATGTTAATATAGATAATTCTGAAAATAAAAATTTAGAAACGCATTCGTCTCTAATATTATCTGACGAATGCTGTGAATCAAAACAAAATCAAGGAAATGAAAATTCAAATTCAATTTCGAATACTCATCGTAAAGAAATTAGTAAGATGACACAAATTCGAAGACCTGATACGCCTCGGCCCACTATAGAACAAGTTAGAATTACAAGATCGAGTGTAGTTCGTTCTTTAACACCTCCACCAAATTCAAATCCTATGAAATCAGTACACAAAAGACGACCAGATACTCCTTTGCCAGAATGTTTTAAATCTTCTCCACGACCAGCAACAAGATCTATGTCAAATATAAATTCACCATTAAGAAATGAAGAACAGAATACAACATTATATGAAAGGCCTATGACGCGTAGTTCAAAATCCTTGGATAATGGATTCTTAAATCCACCTCCATTTCGAAGAAGCAGTTCAATACCACCAATGAAACCAATCTCTGAAAAATTGAATGAAATGAAAGATTGCAGTTCTATTTCGACTAGATCTAAGAAAAACAATGAATTTAGCAATATAAATGTAAGCACAAGACGACGACCGGATACACCTGTTCCTACTTCTGAACAAACATCGCGAGTTACTCGATCTGGACTCAATTTCATGTTAAATTTAGGAAAATCGAGCGCTAATCATATGTCAAATAAAGGAATAAACATATTCGGAAAACAGATTTATCTTCTGATTCAAAAGCACAAGAAGAAGAATCTTCTATTTCTTCAAAAACGGAAACATTAAATACAGATTCAAATGGAAACGCAGTCGTATCGGAAACTTTTACAAAACACGATGATTCATCATTACCTACTTTTAATGATGTTAATGAAAAACCACAAAGAACAGCTAAAGTCGTTGCTATTCTTACTTTGGATACAAGAAGTAATTATAGTAATAAAGCTTCTAGTTCTGTTCATACAAAAACATCTAATTGCAATTCTGCTGATAAAAATAATAAAAAAAACGTCGATTCTAATTCCAATTCCGGATCTGATTCATCAGAAAAAAATTGTGTTCTTAGAATTTCAGATGTTACTTCAAATTGTAAACTAGATGGATGGTGTAGTTCTGGATTGGATAATAGAGATAGAGATCGCGTTTCATCTAATGTATATTCCAATGTAGCAAGTACTTATACAAATTCCAGTAAGTCAGGAAAAACATCGACGATGAAAAATACATCGTTGAATTCTAAACTTAAAACGGATAAAGTTTCATTGCCTGTACAATCAACAGTGATAGCATTGGTCGATTTAGATAACGATCCTAATTACGATTCATCAGATGGTTCAAAAAGATTAAGAAGAAAAATTAAGCGAACACGATTGTCATCATTTGCAAAACCGTTGATAAGGGGAAAAACGAACGAATCGCAAATAGTCGACGCGGTAGGCGATGAAGAGCAAATACCGCCATTTAAAAAAGCAATTCGTTCTCAGCTTCCTGCTCCTCCTCCTCCTTCACAAACAACTCAACTGGAAAAACTAAGTAGCGGTACTATATCTTGAGTCTCGCTAAAACTTTATCGCTGTAACATTTAGCAGCGTGTTTGTATAAATATTTCTCATAATTTAGACACGCATAAACATTATCTTGGACTACTACTTGGAATTGCGTGCGCATAAGAAATCCAAGTTTTATTTGTTTCTTAATTTTCACATGATTCTTGTATATAATCACAAAAGTAAAGATAAGTAAGATATTTCTTTCGTTGTACTAAGTACATACGTGTAACATTTTTAGCATTGTAAATTGTACTTTCCTGTAAAGGTTTCAAATGTCTTTAAGTGACATTGTAATTTATACTTGGTGATAAAAAAAATGAAAGATGAAAGAAGTAAGATATCTGACTGTATCATATTAGAATATATAGATGAGAACAATTCATTACAGCTTAGTTCATTAGCATGCTGCAAAAATCTCGCTTTTCGCGACGATTTTGTAGCAATTGATCATATAAACAAAAGAAATAGACAGTCGATTCAGAAGTAAACAAAAACAGAAGTAATACTGTGAATGCGTCGTACTTTGCTCTTGTGTAACGCCTTGTATTACATACTTTGCGAGGTGACGACCTGATTACATGCTAGACTTAAGAAGTTCTTCGTTTAATGGTATGCCCCACTGTAATATTTAAGTTGCGTGCCTGTATTTTGTATGATCGAGTGAGTCCGAGGAAGGAATAAACAAAATATTCCTTGCTACGAAGATCATGTGTTTTCTTATTTCTTGGTGCGTATCCAAGTCTGTTCGATCAAAGGTTCAGTTCCGTTTTGGTGTCAAATTTTGCTCAGTGTGCTTGGTTATATATACTGAGATCATTAAAAATAATGATCTTATATTCTCGCGATGTTTTGGTGTGGCAAGGCTATCATGACCGCACATTAAAAAAAATTTTTTGCAAATTAAATTAGATAATAGCATGCAGTAGAAAGCTCCAAATAATTATTTATAAAATGGCACCAAAACACTGCCTTTGCCATTCCAAACTTGGAGTCAGCCAAGGTATAAGCAGGCACATTAATGAGCGTCTTGTATAATATTTGATATTTAATGCGAAGTTAAAATAACAAAATTCTTGATGACAAAAATGAGCCTTTGAACGAGCAAAATGTATGTATATTTCCTATTCATTTCCTTCAAATTCCAAGATTATTCATTTATTTCGACATTAGTATTTTTTAACTTCATTTATGCTTAATAGAAGAAATATGAAGACATATATAAAAATGAAGAGGAAACGATTTTTTCTTCAAATTCTTCTGCATACTTGAAAAGTTGGTGCATCATACACGACGCTCATTCTTCGTAATCCCTTTAAATCTTCTTGAAGCAGATTTTTTATTTCTAATTTTTGAATAGCTCTCATAGTCGTACTTTAATATCTTGCAGATATGGTTATCGGACGACAATATGGAGCAAATGCCGGTTAGTGTACATATTTTATTTGCATTTTCGTTTTTTGAAAATATATAAAAATTATTTTAATTATTAGATGTGGTGTCCTCCCACACCTCCTACAACGGATAATGATGTTTACATCGACTATTCTTTGGGATTTCTTTATGAAAATACTCCTATGTCGGAAGCACAATTACCTCCGATATACATTAAAAAAGAACAAAAGAGAAGTAGAATTGAAGCCGGAATTAATGATCGTGATGGTAAGTATAATGTATAAATATAGTTACAATATATAAATTCATTTTATTTATTTATTTAATTCATTGTTTTTTAATTAGTTTTACTTTTATTTTTATAATTATATATTAAATTTTTTATATCTTATATAGGACGTCGAGCGGTTAAAATGAGACATAAAGAAGAATCTGTTTACGCACCGAGATCTTTATTTGATCGGCCTTCACCAGCACTTATGAAAATTCGCCGTGATATGAAATTACATAAATACCGTATAGTGCGGCCACCAATTCCACTGCCGGGTATAAAGCCTTCGCATATATCGAAATCTTCCGTGGACCAAGAACATGTTTTAGATTGGATGATACACGAGGATTGGGCTTTACTTCAAGCAATTCAAATTTATCAAGGACTGCCATTAAATTTGATGATTTTATCTCCTGGCCACACTCCCAATTGGGATTTAGTTGCAGATATAGTAAACAATACTTCTCGAATATATAGATCTCCTAAACAATGTAGAAGCAGATACGAATCGGTAATAGTACCAAGAGAAGAAGGAAAATTACTTTACGATACCACGCCGAAAAAGCAAAAGAAACAAAAAGGCGTTTACAAAATGCCTCAGGTTTCCGAGGTATATCAAGATATTTTTATTCTACATTTGAGAGAGATGCTTGTTGGAAAAAAATTATTATTTTTTTATCATCTTCTTTTAGCAACAAAGCAAAACAAACAGGCCAATGAAAACGTCTCAGTTATATAATCAGGATAAAAATCATTCGTTTACATTAATGTGCTGTCAAAGATTTGATACCATTAAATCTGTTTCGAATAAGAGAACACCTACTGTTAAACCGTTACTCGTTAATCCATTAATGAAAAATCCTACCAACGCTGCAGTTTTAGCTGAATGTGGTATTCAATATGATAATCCGTTAGCTCCTATAGAAGTTGCAACACGACGCGCCGATAGGATTGCAAAAGAGAAACTTAAGCATGCTGTTAGTACAATATTGTATAACATTTTAATTATTTAAATTTTTAAGTTCTTGAAAATTTTATTAATTTGTTATGCATGTAGGTTTTAACTGCGGAGCAACAACAACAAGTAGCCGCTCGTCTATTGCAACAGCAACAACAACAACAGCAGCAGCAGCAACAACAGCAACAACAACAGCAGGTTCAGCAGCAGCAGCAGCAGCAGCAACAATTAAGCTGCAACAACAACAACAAGCTCAACAAAATATTTCAAACACCACAAGTCCTCAAGTACATCAATTAACGCAAGTTGCAACCACTGTTACAACAGGATTAACTACAATGAAGACTATTACTACAATCACTAATGTTACTACCGGTGGTACGACAGTTGCTACATCAACAGTTAAAACTCGACCAGGAGGAACATTAACTATGCAAGATGCACGGACAGCACCAACTGTTGTTAGTGTTGGTAATCTTCAAGCTGCTCAAAGAATTGCAACCGCAAGTTTAGTATCCGCTGCCCAAAATTCTCCTGCAGGTACACAAAAAAGTATTGGAGTTACTGTGGCAACGCCTTCTGGTAGTAAGACATTAACTGCTGCACAATTGCAATATTATCGGCAACAGCAAGTTCTATTGCGACAGCAGCAACTAAAAGTATTACAAGCACAAGCTGCTGCAAATAGTCAAAAAGTATCGGTAGCTGTTTCAGCTGCTGCTGCACAACAAAGAGCTACGTTGATGAAACAAAATATAACTAGTGGCACTGTTGCACAAACTACTGTTGGAAAACAGACTGTAGCACGTGCAGTATCAGAGACGGAAATGGCTGCACTAATAAAGCGACAAGCTTTGCAGCAACAAGCAAAAGCGGTAGCTCAAGTACAAGTACCTGCACAGACTGGACTTACTCCAGCTCAAATATTCGCACAGGCAGGTTTACAAGTACAACATGCTGGAACATCTACAAGTGGAACTCCAGTTGCTACCTTAGTAAAAACTGCAAATGTACGTACAGCAACACCTCAACAAATCCGTCAGCTCGCTCTTCATCCTCAGATTATCCATCAAAGAAAATTGCCAGCACAAAAAGTTGCACAATTAACGCAAGTTGCCGCAAAAACTGGTGTTCAAACTCAACTAATTGTGCAACAAAAGTCATTGCCTGCAACGATGACTGTGCAACAAATTCAACAAGTCATGAAACATGTTCAACCATCTGCAATGCAACAATTTACACATGTATGTTACATATTTTATATTTGATATCTTTTTTTTTTTAATTCATTTTATTTTATTGTTTCTTTTTCTATGATTTCAGGTTTCTACAGGACAAACGGTCTCACAACCTGGTCAAGTAGTTTTAGCTAAATCTCCGTTGCAGACAAGAGTAATTCCAGTTGCATCCGCTGCTTTAAAACAAACAATTCAAGTTATGACTGCAAGTAGTGCTCAATTACGCCAAGCTACACCTGCTCAAGGTAAACCTGTTGTTACAACTGCAAGAGGTAGTCCCGGGCCTAGTCAAGTTAAATTGCAAACTCTTGCACATCCTATTCATCCTCAACAAGTACAACAACAACAGCAGCAACAGCAACAGCAACAACAACAACAACAACAGTCACAAACTCAACCAGATGCTCAACCAAAGTAAGTATGTTTTCATCGGGTTTTCATATTTATTAAATGTTACAAAGTTTTTTCTATTTTCAATTTATGTTCATCAAGCGAAATGAAATCAATATGGAATTCTCATTTGAAAAAACAAAAAACAAAAAAAAAAAATTAAAAAGAAATTACAACATTCCAAAAGAGATTGCAAATAAAAAGAGTAATGAAAATAAACTCTAATCAATTCGATGTAGTAACTATTTCGGTTTAGACATAATATAACTATAATATTTGTGTAAATATCTTTTTACATATGCATAGTTATATGTCATAAAAGATTTTCTTGATATTTTATTTTTATTTATCAAGAATGGTGTATTTCAAACATATATCATTTCAATTCGATCAATATTGAAATACGCCAATTTTATTCTATCATTTTTCAAAATTTGCTGGCCGAATTTGTACATGATATTAAAACAAAAATTTTGTGCATCATTAACTTTTAGAGAATTACTGTAGTATTAACATTTATTATATTTTTTGTTTTAAATATAAATACAAATTGTTAACGATTATAGAATTGCAAACAGAAACATGAGTGACAGGACTATGCACAGTTTAATGTTTTAATTTCATTGAAATTAGAACCCACGCATGTTGAATGTTTTGCATCCTTAGAACTTATTGAAAAAAACTTTTGACAAATTAGTTTATATTAAGCAATGCAACTTTGTTTAAGGGATAATGTATCAGATAATATAAATGTTATTTTCTTGAAAACGAGGAATAATTCGTAGAAAATATCTTCGCAATATTCTGATTGCATGTCAAAATGTATTCTTCTTGAATTTATAAAAGTTAATGAAAAATAATTCAGCCTCGAAAATATTTAATTTGTTGATACATACGAATGAGAAAGAATAATTACGAAACAATTGTATGCGATTGTATATTTATCTATAGTTACCTGTAGAACTTACAAATTTCTTTCAATGATGCGATGTTTATACTAGAACTTTATCGAATTGTGTAAGATTGTACCAATATATATAAATATGTATAATATTCGTGTATCATAGACGCTAAAATAAATCTGTTATAAATAATTTTGTGTATTTACATTATAAATACATATTATACATACATATATATGTGTGAAATTTAAATTTCAAATGTAATAACATTTATACTTTTAGAAATATCTTAATTGATCTGTTTTTTAAATATATTACGTACTATATAATTTGAATTGGATGTTCAAAATGTATCAGGGAGACCGGAAAATAATATTGTTCTTTTTACATTAAATTCAAACAAATAAATTTTTAAAAAATTTTTATTTTTAATCAATAATATAATCACCCTCATTATCATTATAACAATTTTTTACCATCTAGCGTGCAAATTTTCAATGCTGGATCGATAAAAATCAATTGGTTTTTGAGCAAAATAACCGACACTTTGAATATCATCCAAATTTTCAAATTTTTTGTCACTTAGAAAGTGTTATAGCGAACAAATAGAACAAATAGAAGTCTAATGGTATAATGTCGAGCGAGTGTGATGAGTGAGGCAATATCTCCCACTCCAATTCATTAATTTTTTCCAGGCTTCGTCTTGCGCAGTGCGGTGTTGCATTATTGTGTTAATAACGCGTTTTCTGTTGATAATCGCTGGATACCTTTCAATTAAAGATTGATTTACTTTATTCAATTGTTTACACTAAAGTATTCACATACACTAAAGTTTACACATCTGCATTCAAAGTTTGTCCAGGTTTCAGCACTTCAAAATGAATGATTTCACGAATACTCCATCAACATATAAAAGTGCCTTTTTAGAATGTAAACCTAGTTTACTTCGTGGTAATTCATTTGGAGAGAGCTTTGCCTTTTTTTTGTTTTGGATTATCATAGAGAATTCATTTTTCATATCCAGTGATCAAGCGATCAAAAAAGCTTTTGTATTGTGTCGTTGAAATAATAAGTTATATGAATCGATTAGCTTTGTTTTCTTTTCGGACAGTTTATGGGATTCAAACGCTTGCTCTGCTTACTTTACCAATCTGCTGCAAATGTTTTTGGATGGTTGACCAAGATTGATTAAGAATTTTTGACAGTTATTCGATTGTCTGACGTGGATTTGTTTCCATTTTTCCCTTAACACATCATTGTCTAAAATTGTCTTCTTGATCGATTTAGAGAGTCGGAAAGATCAAAATTACCCGATTTGAACTTAGAAATCTGACCACGATTTTTTTTTTTTTTACAAACATCTAATATATTTGAATAAATGTTTTTGGTAGCAATACTGCAGCATTACTATCCTTTGTGAAACTAAAAAAGTATATAATGTTGTATATGTAAAATATCTCTTCTGGTATTTTGTTAGCCATTTTATCCAAAATTGCAAAAAATATTTAAGATTTAATTATTTACAAATAAATAAGTCATTTTAATGTTAAAATGTCTTTGATATGACTTTGAAATACATAATGAATTGATAAATGATAACAAATATTGATATGCGCAGAAACGACATTTCCGGTTCCTCTAATATATATACATTAATTTCAATTTTCACAAATAGTATTAAATTTCAAGCATTTATTATTTTTTCAATATGTTACAATAAATATTGTATAACTGATCAAATAGATTTTTTTAAAGTTTTTGAATAAAATTATACTAAAATATCGTAAAAATTATTTCTACATTTTAATATAGAAATAATAAAATTTTAATGTACTGTTACAATTCCTGATGAAGTGGATAATATCAATGGATATATATATATATATATATATTCTTCAGTGGAAATTTACATAAATTATTTATTGTAAAATATTGTTAATAAAAAAAATAAATTTTTTATCTCATAATATAATATATATTAATCTGGGAAAATTTAATAAAAAATTTGGAGTAATTAAATAAAATATGACAAATGTATTTTTTTCTATGTACAGATATACATTTGGTAATACTATTATACAAAAAGTCGTTTAAAGACATTATTTACTAGTACTTTATTTCGGTAATAATGTTAAATACTTTTTAAATTCTGGAATTACACATTCTCGTGGATTTAATGGGATTTGAGAAGTAAGATAATCGCTTAAATATTGCGGCATAAAGCAAAGAATACCTTTACTAGCTAACATTGCCCAATCAATAGGTTGATTAACTTGTTTAATGTTAACGAAACAATGAGTGATTTTTTTTCCAGTTGGACTTGTATCATATGGTGGTCTAAAAAAATAATATATTAAATAAAATAAATAAGTAAAATAAATTTAATAAAAAAAAATTCCTTACCTTGCTTGAACAACTTTACCATCTCCAGCTTCAATTAATCTTTTAAATTGATCATATTTATCTCCAGAAGCCAATAGCAAAGCAGTCATATTATGAAATGGCCCATTTGGTTCCTTTAATAATTTAAGCCTCCATTTATATGCAGCTGCTGCAATTGTTTCTTCAATTTCGCCAGTAGGATCTGGTATAATGCCCTTACTTTTTGGATTTCCCCATTCATATTTTTCTTCCTATCAATATATAATTACTCAAAAGTAAAATATTAAGTCTTAAAATAAAATATAGATTATAAATAATAACAATACTAATATTATATATTATTACTATACAATATTAATACTAACATCAAGAAATTTTCCTTCTTGTTGAGAATCTCGTAAATACATACAATGTAAAACCCATTTTCCGGATGCTATACTTCCTAGCATTTTTTCATTTCTTGAAGGTCTAATACAAAGTAAGTGCGTCGCATTTATATCAAAAATAGCATCTGATGATACATCACCACCAAGATTTTTTATTACTTGTTCGTATGCTATTTTATCCTATTACATAAATTATCTTAATCAATAATATATATATAATGTATAATATAATTAAGTATACAAGTATATATAAATTAATATACCTTTATGCCTGATAACATGAATTTTAATTTTCTTGGAGGTTCAATTTCTTCTTCTGATGATTCTTCTTCATGATGTTTTATATTATATTCTTCATGTGCAATACTTTCATTTTGTTCTTCATGCATTGTCAACTTTATAATATATATTATAAATAATTATGATTATCAAAATTAATTAATTTAAGATAAAATATATTTATATAAAAGACTTACTCGTTTTGAATTGCTGGGATCTTCCCACACAATAGCATCGACAGGTTGAGAATCTTTTGCAATAACTATAACAAAAAATATACATTATAAATAAAATAAATCAATAATAATAAACAAATATATTTACATTTTTGTATAGGATCGGCAGGTTCGACATTGTATGTATTTGCATTTTCTCCAGAAAGAGAATACCTATTTTCAGGAGTACTTGATGTTCTTTGAAGTACTTGATCTAGTTGTGCAATTTGCCTACAAAAAAAAGTTTATGAAAAAGTTGCTCTTGCATACACACAAAGATTATTATATGTGAAGTTTAAAACATTTATCTGTTACAATTTATATATTATATACTTATATATTATACTTACATATTAATTTCATTATTTGGTAATGGACTATTTTCATCGGTAAATTCTAATTTTCTATTAATAGATGTAATAGTATTTATTTTGCAATCATCTTTTGTTAATTCTGGTATTTCATCTAGTTTTTCATCTTCATTAGTTGCAGAGCTTTCATCATTATTCTGTTATAATATATATTTTAAAAATGAATTTGAAATATTTATTTATATATATAAATAAAATATATTACCTCTGAATCATGATTTTGTTGTTTTAATTTTTGCCACAATTGTTTTTTAAGTTCTGAAAGAGGCTATAAATTTAATTATATTAATATGTATCAAATATTTATATGTAATTAAGCTTATAAAAAGTAATAATTACAGTACTAAGCGCCCTTTTTTTCAAAGGAGGTTCTTCTACTCTTAAATCTGGAAAGTTATCAACCCATTTCACCCAACCTTTTCTTGTATCTGGTGAAGGATTAGGTTTAAATACTTGACCATATGGTGTTTCTGGTGTAGATACATGAAATGGTGATTGAGGAGTTTTGTTCATAAGTAAACTAAGTCTTTTATTAATTAACGGTGTATCACCGGAATTGCCATCTTGACTCTGTAATATTATTTTTAATAATAAGCTGATCGCAAACATGAAACAAGTTGAAAAAATGAAATTAAAAATAAAAAAATATATATATACTTGTAAATTTAATAGATGACGTTTTGGAGTAATAATATTTCTAGCTATTGGTTCAACTGGA